CGGCCCGGCACTCACAGCGGGACTCGAATAACAGACAGAAATTTGGCTTACAATCTAAAAGGCATGGGTAGCGGCAAAAGGGTACAATTCAAGCACCACTTCCAAGAGGAAATGTATTCTAGGGAATCTAGCCCATGTACATGTAGTACATTAGAGGAATTCGAAGGTAAAATAATTTAAGATAATTCAGGACTTTTTTAGAAATTTTAATAAATATATCGAAATTGCTCTTGAATTATAACAGGAAGTTTTTCATATATTCCAGATTTCAAAATAAAATAAAATTCTTTGATTCCTATTCCTCCAAAAATATTGATTTCTGAAATCTGCAAGGGAAGGAAAACGCTCCACATATTTCCCACTGTGCACATGGTTTAATAGTGAAATTTGTTCTTTTGACGAATCTCTGTTGAATCTGTCATCTCGTTTAAAAGCCTTTAATCCGTGCAAAGACAAGACATTGATTCCTGATATCGATAGAAGGGGAGCAGGTTAAAATATCTGATCCCCTCCCATCAAGAAATCCCCGATACGGGGGATATTTCTGACAAGAAATTAAAGCCGTGAAGTTTTGTGTAAATGGATAAAAAAGGGTTTTAGCTACGAAACAAAGCACGAAAACCAATATGGGCATGTGGCTAATGGAACCAAAGTTTTATTTATGTTTTTGCCTCAAGAGGGGTACAAAATCAGATTTATAAATTTTCAAAGATTTCTTCTATTTGGTTACTGAAATCTTTTGGCGTGAATTTTACTTCCGTTTAAACCTTTTGCAAATTTAATTTGAACATAAAACTTTTTATTAAACAACCAAAACGATTTTAACTTTTTAATAAATGTTTGTAATAAATGTTTACAAGTAAAATTGATACCCCCCGCCTCCCATATGGTTATAACTGGTGAAAAAGTGTTTTCCTGTGGCCGGGAAACCCAAAAGTGTCGGATCAAAAAGTAAAATAGGAGTGTGTGTGTAATAAAGATTCTACAGAAAGTTTCATTAAATTTCATTCAGTGGTATGAGAGGAAAAAATAACATATACATTACATATACCCTCCCGCTTTTCAATATACAAACACGACATTCTCGGCATAAATTTTACGTAAACAGAAATAAAGTATGTTACATGAACCAAAATAAGCCAGAAAAAATATACTGTATACATGTAAATTACAATGTATTAAAAACCTTTTTTAAAACTTTTACTTAAATAAGCTAGATAAAAATGTCATATTTTCCTATGCCCTTTCATGTTAAAACGATGACGGTACTAAATACCACGAAATTATCAAATAACTATTTTTTCTTACCCATTTTGACATTTCAATTCAAATGTCAAGATAAAAGCACCTAAATAGTGTATTTGATGACATCTATACTTGTATTTAACCTTATAGAATTAGTACGACTTCACTTGATAAAATTGAAAGAATTCGAAATCTCTTATTTGTCTTGTAAAGAGAAATAAATTTGATTATTGTGTTTTCTTTGTTCAACCTGACGTGAAAACTTTATTTTTGCCCTATGTAGATGTATGAAGACGATTTAAATTTTGACAATATGACTGACTGATTCCTGCTTTTCACTAATTACAGTGTATTAGCAGATTTTTTTTTTCATTCTGGGGTTTAAATTACCAACTTGTTCTAATAAAGGTACGAAGAATGAAAAGGAAAGAAAAACGAAGAGAAATTCATACCCATTATCACTCGTTTTCTTTAGACAAAGTATTAAAATCTTTTGTCAATATTTATTGTGCTTCAAAAAGTCTTTTTACAATGCAACCATTGATTTTTTTCCCCCTCTACTTCTTATAATTTTTATAATTAACCGAAGAGCAATTGATACTATGAAAGAAATTTGAAGTCCCCTTGAACATTTTGGGCGAGTTTTATAGTTAAGCTTTCTCTATATGCATGTCGTTGTGTGTTAAAATGTTCCGAAGCTAATGGTCACTGTTGTCCTTGACTGACAGTACGATAAAGAAACCTAACTATGACTGATATTTCTAATGAAGGATTTCTTAACAAATGGAGGAAATGGAAAGTGCTTCCGCTAAGGCAGTGTAATTATTTTTTGCTTTTCATTTTTTAGGGCATACAAGAATTTTCAACATTTTATATCTGGACAAAATTCCTGGTGCCATATATTCATTTTTTGTCTGGAAAAGTATTAATTATAAAACTATAATTATAATTAAGATTATGAATAATAAATTGTTCTTTCGTATTTCTAATGAATCAAAAATTTTAGTAGAAAAAGTACATGTTCGATGCACATATATAAACTTGAGTTTTGATTTTTTTTTTTTGACTCAAGTTAGAATGATAAACTGGTCTATCGTATTTCTAATGAATCAGATATACTTTGATTTTAAATATTGGAAAATTATTAGTAGAAAAAGTACATGCTCGATGTACATATATAACCTTGAGTTTTATATAGAAATATTTTTTTAAATTCTTCTTCTCAAGTTGTTGTCTCAAGTTAGAAGTTCAAATCATGGAAAATGGATTTCCTTTTCTTCTTCTCAAGAACCACTGGGCCAGAAAAGCTAAGCTTACTTGGAAGCCATGTTATTGTTCAAATAAATTAAAGTTTTATATAGAAATATACAGCTTTGAAAATCTTCTTCTCAAGTGTCTTATGTGGAAGCATCCTGGTATAATGTAGATTCTAAATTGTTCACCATTTGGGAATCAAAGTTTTATATAGAAATATATAGGAAAAATCTTTGAAAATCTTCTTCTCAAGAACCACTGGGCCAGAAAAGCTGAAGCTTGTTAAATGATTCTAAATTGTTCAAATAATGACCCCCGGGGGAAGGGCGGGGCCACAATGGGGAATCAAAGTTTTATAAGAAATATACAGGAAAAATCTTTGATTCTCAAGAACCACTGGGCCAGAAAAGCTGAAACTGTAAGCATTAATGTAGATGAAATTGTTCAATATGACCCCCGGGGGAAGGGCGGGGTAAATAGTTTTATATAGAAATATATAGCAAAAATTTTTGAAAATTTCTTGCACTTTTATGAAGTGCACTTTATGTTTAAAAAATTATTAGTTTTATTAGAAATATATAGGAAAAATCTTTGAAATCTTCTTCTCAAGAACCACTGGGCCAGAAAAAGTGAAGCTTATGTGGAAGCATTCTGGGGTAGTGTAAATGTAGGAATCATGACCCCCGGGGGAAGGGCGGAGCCATTATAGGGGAATCCAAGTTTTACATAGAAATATATAGGAAAAATCTTTGAAAATCTTCTTCTCAGGAACCACTGGGCCAAAAAAACTGACATATGTGCCCATGGAAGGATCATGTAGTGTAGATTTCAAAATGTCTAAATTATGATCAGAGGGTGGGGATGCATTATGTATAACAAGGGGGAAATTCAGAATGGTCAAAGCTTCTCAGGTGAGCAATGGTAAATTAATTTTTAAAAAGCCTGTGACACTCGAGTTGACCATTTTTATAAATGTTTGCCGCTGATGATCGTTAAATGATGATCCATATGAGAAAATTCACGGAGGTCTCTAATTAATTATGAAAAATATGCATAAATAAATGAGCATGTGTTTTTATTCTTGTATTTTTATGAAGTGCACTTTAAAAAATTATTATTTTATTAAAAATTCTGAATTGTTGAATTATTATCAGAAATATACACAGTATAACTTTCAACAAGAATGGTTATTAATATCAATACTACTATGAATGCATTTACATTTTAAAAATTCTGATTGTACATATAAAGTATAATTTCAATATTCAATGTACATTTTTTTCTCTAATTGTCATAATTATTGCGTGACTAAATAAATTAATTTATTAATTAGAATTAATGTATGTAGTACATCGACGTCATTTTTCATAAAGGTAAGCATATTTTTTTAAGTGCTTCACAATACTGAGGTGTAAAATTTGATATGACTGAAAAGAAAGTTTGTCAATAGTATAGTCAATATATAGTCATGTAAAGTTATCAAAATAAGAGTTCAACAAGAAATGGCCGTCGTTGTTGAGTGTCCCGTAGAAATCGTTTGAGTAAATATTTAAAATGACACAAACTTAAGACGTTCTGAGTTTATAAGGCTTGATGTTAAAGTTTATAGCGACGACAGGTTCTTGTTTACTAACATTAGCAAAATCAGGGGAAAAAAACGCGAGAGAGAGAGAGAGAGAGAGAGAGAGAGAGATGTTTAAGATGCTTTCTATGGTATATTCCAACAAGTGCATTGTCATCAAGGTTTTTTTTCACACTGTTAAAGTGCTTTTTTAATATTTATTTTTCTAAGCTTATTTTTACGATTCAGTGATTCAATTGGTAATATTTTTATGATTTTTGATGGGGTAAAAGTTCTTTTTTTATTATTAAATTTCAAATGCGTCAATTTAAAAGCTTATTATAAGTGATGCAAATAGCTTGACATTGAACACATTTAAATTTTGTAATTCGATTGTCTGATTTTATTTTACTTCAATAAACCTTGTCAAACAGGACTTAAATTAACTCAAATTATAAAAAGTCTTAGTGGGGTATCAAAAATATCAGTTTATTTAATCTAAATGGAAAAGAATCTGTTTTAAAAAACAGTAACTTTTACTGTAATACATACAACCAAATATTATTTTGACGGATTAATGAGCATATTAAGTTTGTTTCTCTCTACTGCCAAGTTCGTAGTTTCTGATTTATTATGTTCTATCGTCATAGTTCGCTCCGGGATTTGAGGGGTATATATAAGTACATGCATGTTTACCAGAGTTGAAGAGACCATAAATCTTGATGGAAGTACGATGCTGTCATAAAGTAAACATTGAAAGTGGTTGAGGTTACTTTATAATTGGATTTCAATTATGCTGAAGTGTTGAAAAGTTGCGTTTTAAATTATACGTCCCGGGATTATATACTAAAATTTTATTTTAAAGAACCTGTTACATACTGACACGCATTGCGTTATACTTTGAGTTTGCGAAATTTTGAGAAAGGAGATTCATAACAACATGAGTTCCGAAGAACATCGTCGTGCGAGTAAAGTAACGTTTGATTTGCGACAGAATAAAACCCGTACAGTTTTTCCGAACACGTCATTATCAGGAGCAAAACATGGCGCTCAGACTTCAAATCGAAGACATAGTGAATTCTTATCCATCTCGGGTCCGCTAAACAAGAAGTCGGATGGTCGCCGGCATAGTGAAGTATACCATACAAAACGCAGGCCGAGTGATGTCTTAAAAGAAACTTCTCAAAGCCACCACGTCCCAACGACTCATCAAAGTTCGCTTATCGAACACGATCGTCGATTGAACAGAATGCTTAAAGACAGGAGATACAGCGATGAAAAGCTTTATCTCCTAGATGTGGTATCATGCGGAAAAAGTTTACGAACTAAATCTATTATGGCGGTCGTGTCGCTTCAGAAACATGGTAATGTCACGGCTGTGTTCTATAATAAGTATGGAATATTGTCTTCTTCAGCCAACCGTGCCCGATTCCAGGTCACTTCCGGTCCCAAGAGGTTCTCGGAGGGGGATGTTCTGGAAGCGCAGAGCCTCCAACAGTCTGGTCTAATAGGTCAAAGAAGCCACCTCAGCAAATTCAAGAATGTGGCCAAAGTAGCAGCGTTCAGGTAAGGATTATGAAGCAAAGGGAACATGCTGGGGTACATAATAATTAGATTTTCTGGATTTTAACATTAGTCAAAATTTTCAGAATCTCTTGGTGACGGAGGCTGAAAACCTTAAAAAAAATAATACGGCGTCATATCATTGTTCACTTATATGATTGTGGATGTATATATTCATTTAGATTTGTTCAAAGGTAAAATTCTATAATGAAGGAAGATATTGTTTTATAATTGAAAATTTAGTTCTATACAATGGCTCTTGCAAAAGGATCCACAGATAGTTCTATATTAGAATTAAAATTTATTTTTTTTACGAATTTAATGATAAATGTACTGTTCAAATTGACTTGATTATTTTTATTGAACAGAGATACTGCCCAGTTGCTCAGGTAACTCATGCACCATGGAGAAAATCCTGCTTCATGTTTATACTATATTTTGCTTTCAGGTTTTCTGACAAAAAAAAAAACCTTCAGATCGTCAGTTTTTATTAAATACATGTATATGTACAAAGCTGGTATCCACTTAGTTGCTCGAATCCCAATAACAGTAGGACGTTTCGGAAAATAATTCCCATTTTTTCTCAAAAAGCGCCTAGTACATGTGTACTAAGTTTAAGCAATTGTAATCCGTGTTTGTTGTAATCCAACGAAGATGAATATTTCGGAAAATTCTTCTTTGTTACATTTACTAGTACAATGTACCTTTTCCCCAAATGTTCAGCACAAGTTTGGGTAATAATAGACAAAACGGATTGATATACATTAAATTTATAATTATATGCGACTCTAAAATAGATTTACTTTAAATTTTTTAAATTAAAAATATTGTGGATGATATATGTATTTGATAGTCCATGTATCCGGTTTGATTATTGGGTAAATTATGCCTATCGAATTAACAAATTGTAACAAGAATTGACATTAGAATAAAAGTATTTTTATTTGTTTATAAAGGTCAATGTACTCACGTTTTTAACTTAGTTATTTTATTTAGATCATGGCAAACAGGCATGTACTGCACAGTACAATAATTTTCTTTCTTCCTGTCAACCAAAAACATATTTCCCAGAATAGAAAGCTTTTCCCCAGTAGTGTGAAGTATATACATTAAGGAGGGATTCCTCTCTCTTAGTGATTTACTTTATCTAGCAGCAAGAACGTTAACCCGCTAGGGGAAAGAGGTATAGAAAATAGAGCTTCTTTACTGTTATGCCCCTCAAAAACTGTATCAAATATTGCGTTAACGCTTATAATTTCAATAGCGACTTGTTGCTAAAATGTGAACAAAATAAGCATACTAGTATTTTGGGGGACAGAATTGTACAATAAAAAAATTTGAAGAATATAAATAGAAATATATTCCATGTAAACTAAGAGTTATCTCTCTTATTAGAATATAAATGAACATTAAAATGCATATATAATAGAACAGTACCGGGTACTTATTTATGAATTCAGGTATAAACATCAACTTTCTGGTGCAAAATTATTTTTCTGTGGTTAGATAATTTAATCTGAAAAATCAAACTGCTTGTCTTCGAATACATTTTAGCCATAAACAGTAAAATACGCACATGTAATGCACACAAGCACTGGCGAGATCGATCTTTTATTCCCAGCATCTAATTGTTTTCATTTTCTTTGTAATTGTCTTCTAATCCAATATACGTGTATTAAAAATAAACTTAACAAAAATATTGTTTATTCTCTTAAATTGTCATTCTAGTGAAAGATTGAGAGGTAGGAGGATATCCGAAGTTGATGCCAAACTGACCATGGATATCAAAGGTCAAGGGCGCCGAGGGACTGTCCATGGCAACCAGCTGCATGGCGATGGAACACGAAGGGTTGAGGAACCCTTCGGAAAACACCGGCTAAGCACACTTCTAGCTGCCACACTCAAAGCAAAAGAGGAGGAAAAACAGGTAATGAAAACCTTATAACACGAACAATGATATCTAATGGATTTTTTAAAATGTAGTATAGAGTTCAGCATTGCAATAAAGGTAAATTATTAAAGTAAACTGCGTGAATTTGATGGTACTCTTTTAAGCCCTTTTTACTCCATGTATATATTGCAGAAAATGCTACGGAAGTTACAGACGGTTAGTAGAGCAGTGGGGCGTATGTGTGCTTTACAGAGGCTCATTCTTCAACGGAAGTATGTATTTAAAAAGTATTGCAAATTTATTTTATATGTAGCATGTACAATATTCTGTGGATTGTTATTTGAAACAATTTAGTGTCATTTAGTGTTAATATGATTCAGCACTTTTCTGAATGTTTATCTTAAATATGATTTACGAAATATTTAGTAATGATTTAATCATAAAAATTTTGATTTGTCAGACGTTGCTTTCTATCAAAAGTGTTTAAATAAACTGATAATTTACCTGTAAGCTGTTTTATTCTATTGTCTTATTAGTGCTACCGACACGGTGTATCAGTCACAGTTAAAGGAAATCGGTAGTTCTCCTGTGAACGAGAAAAACACATACGGAGCCAATAGAATTGACGTGTCTTATTTCAAAGCTAATCGTCAGGTACATTACGTCATGATTAAAGATTGTGTCATCATTATTTTTCAAAAATACTAAACTTTAGCATTTATATCTAGTATCAAAAATACACAGTGATGGAGCGCATATAGTGAAATATCTGCATGTTTATTACATAAAAAAGCTTGACACATTCAAAGATGTCTTTTTTTTCACCATTTCAAAATAGAAACCATGCTTGATTTTCTCTAGATGCGAATGTCCCAGCGAGGACTACAGATTCTGTCTAAACCCCCAGACCAAAGAACCAGAGATGACATTCGATATGTGAGTTAAACAAGAAAACGTTCTTCTTTATGGCGAGAAAATTAATTGAATGCCTTAATAAACGCATTTAATCAATGGCTGAAGAATGAAATGACACATTGTATATTTAAATTTTTCAGTTACATGAAGATTAGTTTCAGTTTGTAAATCACTATTCAACTTTTTGAATTGCCTCTGTGAAAATACCTTTAATATTTCTCGATCTCTTCCCCAAACCAATAAAACGTACAGATTGAAAAAGCCACGTATATACCAATGTTTTAGTCAGCCCACTAGCCAAAAACTACAAAGTTTTACTTTAACGCAGGAATGAATCACAATTTTTTGGTCTATTTGCCTGTTTGTCTGCTAAAACATTAAGTAAACTTTATTGAAATTCTCATGGGTACTAATTGCCCCCCTTATTAACAGACTTCATTTTGTATTCATATGAAGCAGAATTAGTCCACAATATATGTATTGACAACGTATTGTCAATTAATTAACAATTATTATTTCCATTCTTATGGCTATATTATATACCCCGGTGAGCTTGAAATAAAACATACCACAGAGTCCGAGAGATCTGTTTCATATTTAGATATTTTGCTTGAAAAGGACGTTGATAAAGCTTTATAACAAACGAGATGACTTTAACATTTAAAATTTCAACTTCCATTACGTATGCAACAATATTATACCTTCATCACCTGCATACGGAGTTTGTATCGTTCAGTTGATTCGATAAGCAAGAGCATGCTCTACATATGTACAATTCTTAAAACGAGGTAAGTTATTGACGAAAAAGTTGCTAAAACAAGAATATCCGCAGTCTTGTTTAAAATTTATCATTGAGTCAAATGCTGACTTGACATTTTTCATACTTATTGTTAGTCTATAGAGCATTATTTTCACGCTGAATTGTCGACGGATTTTCCCGTTTTTCCCGATCATGACAAGCAGATCACGGCGGGTGAAACTTTGTATATATCAATCTTAAACCTTATCCATAACGTTTCAAGGATTGGTGCTAAGGCTTTCATACATCTCAAATGTATTTTGACCTTGATATTTGACGTACTTTTGTAAAGCTTAACTTTGGCTATAAGTTTTGGACAAGTAATCTTTTATAGATCTTTTATATTTCATACGTGTTTTTCTTGTGACAAGAACTAAAATTTCTTTTGGTACCAACGAATTTTGCTTTTGATATTACACTTGAAGTTTCACCTACTTCAAAAAAACATTGGCCATTTTTTGAATGCTTGATTCAAGTTTAACTTGCATCTGAGATGCCATGAGTTGCCATATGGGGACAGCAGTGTTTCACAATCACATCTTCTTTATGCAGGCGACCAATGCCCTCCGGAATGTGAAATACATAGCAGAATTTCCCCTGCGGATCCAAGAGGCGTTGGCTCGTGTAGGGTTTGTAGAATGTTACGATGCCAAACGCTTTATCGTGAAGGAAGGCGGAGCTCCCGAGAACGCTTATATTGTTCTCTATGGCTCAAGTAAGTCAAAACACGTCATTTTATGGGACTATAATATTTATAAAGGATACAAATTAGCATGAAGAATTGTATAGATTTTGATAATTCGTGTTGCATGTTTTCAAAGGAAGAAAGAAATATCTTGTTTTGATATACGAATGGACCTTTCCAAGAAAATTCTAACTTGTGATACATGTCTGCTGAATTTGTTCTACATGTGGTTATAAGACAACGTTGTTATATGTTATAGTTGTAACCGCTATATTGGATGATCACAAGCTATCGGCCACATCAATAGATGTATTAATTAAACGAGGACAGCCCTTTGGGGTGAGTGATTTGTTATTACTCAGTTGCATTGTTTATTTTTTATTTTAAAACAAGATTTCTGTGTTGCTCTATTTTTGCATTTTATTTGATTACTGAGTTCATGTATAGTAAGAAATTGACAAAGCCACTATTCTGTACGATTAAATAGTTTGGTACAATATCACATCCTATTAATGAAACTAAGGTAATGTTTAATATTTAGCACTCAGTGCGCATGTGCTCACACAAAAAAGTTCAAATAATTTATTTCATTACATTGCTTTTTGGTTAAAAAAAGAAGAAGCCAGGAATGATGATGCATAATTTCAAATAGTTTAGTATTTTACTGGGATGGGATGTGTTTTTTCTTCGAATTCATCACCCAAACTTTGTCATTCGTTTATTTCTAACCCCAACCCCCATTTTCCACGCAGGGGACATTATGGTACTTGCTTTGTGACTATGGTAAATTTGTTCTCGTACCCGTTGTCTGTCTGCCACAATTTTTTTTGTCAAGTTTCGAAACGTTTGAATGAAATACTCGTTCAACTTTAGTATAATGTTGTCTAATGATCTAATGAAATGCCAACACGATGATTCTAGTTCATTTAATGGACCTAGATTTTGTGGATTCTAATGGACCTAGATTTTGTGGATTCAAATCTAGCTTGTCGTTTATAATCACTGATTTGGACTGAGGCTCATCTCACGCACTATAGCTTTTATGTTTTAATTATCACATTCTTGAGATTCTTAATGAGCTTGTTACAGCTTTTGTGGTTTGCACTACGAAGTGAACACAGTGGCATTTTGTATAAGAGCAAACACGGTGAAATTTAAATTTTGCAATAAATATTGTATCTTCTTTAAAATATTTTTTGAGACTTGCAAAATTTTATGATGTATATATGAAATACCGAAATAGAAAAATAAAAACTTTAATCTATAATACCAGAAGTCAGCAGGGTGTTTTCAAAGTGGCTGGAACCATTTTGTTTCTTTTGAAAATTATTGTACATATTAACAGAAAAAGATAAAAATGCCAAATTTTAAATTATATTTAATCATAAAGCCATATGTTCTAAATCTTTTAATTAGGAAATAGGAGTTTTCAAAAACAAACCTAGAGGGGGATCCAATATAACCAATGAATACACAGAGGTCTTGAGGATACCTGCGGAGGTAACATTTTTTTTAATTGTTCAGGTTAATTTTGTTTTCGTCAACTTAAAAAGAACAAACTTGAAACTCAACTTGAACATTATAAAAAGCTTACTTTTTTACTTTAAGTTTTGGACATCAATAAAAAAAGCCTTGAAACTCAATGACTCGTACATTGAAGCTTACAAAAAATTCTACAAGATAGAATAATTGTTTTTAGGACTACAAGAAGATTTTTATGGGTGGAGTTCAAAATGACCCCGAGAGTGACCCGTACCTCAGGTAAGTTTGATGAATTACTGTATACTGTCCTAGAAAACAATTACAATTGTCGGTAACCCACAGGTGATGTACATCAAATTTCTCTTATCATGTTTGAGGGAGCTGAAGTTGTGATTTGCAACGATGTCCTAAGCGATTCCCTACACCTCAAATATTTTTTAAGTCAGTAACATTACCCAGGAAAGATAACTCTAAAATGATATCTGCTAAGAGAGATAACTCTAAAAGATGGCCAAGAATTAGATTACATCACTGTTACAATTGTCGGTACCCACAGGTGATGTACATCAAATTTCTCTTATCATGTTTGAGGGAGCTCGTGGGCCTTAAGTTGTGATTTGCAACGATGTCCTAAGCGATTCCCTACACCTCAAATATTTTTTAAGTCAGTAACATTCCTTAAATAGTAATAACATAGATATTTTAAAAATCTCCCTAGAAGTTATTTTTTTATCAACATCCGCCTTCATATACTTAAAGATTATTGAATTTCATTTTGCTATCCATTTAATGGAAGCAAGTTTTCATAATTTAAATTTTTTGTAGAAAGTTCAGTTTCTTGAGAAACTGGCCTCTGAAATCTTTAAAAGAAGAGCCAGGAAAATATTTTGTGACATATTTTCAGTAAGTATTGATTAATATATTGAAAACATCTAAATTTATGTTTACAAATTTTCATGCTTTTGCATGGCATTTGTATTCTATAAAGTTTTATAATAACGACAATTTCATATTCATTTTAGACGAAGTGTTATACTAACAAGAGATAGCAATAAATCCGACTGGATATACATTGTAAAAGAGGTAAGCAAAAGTCAAAGAATGTGTCAATTACCGGTATATGGAATAAAACATTAGTTTAAGCGTATTTCTGTATGTGCAAGTTTAGCAATTATTTATCTGCTCACATTTTAGGGATCTTTAAGGGTTTTAAAGAGACTGGAGAAAGTGAAACCAATCGTGAACAAACGTTCAGGAGAATATAGACTGGATGCCCATCCCAGTGGGTATTTTTCGTTTCTTAGTCAAAACCAGGACTTTAATCGTTATATAAATTACCATGACATCGACCTTCCACCCCCTCTGCAAATGGAGGATGGCTCGGGGGATGAATTTGATGGTCCTTATTCTAGTCAGGGAACTCCAAGATATAAAAAGTCACAGGCACTAACAGACAGACTAAATACAGTCTTACGGCCACACACAACGGGAAGGATGATTATCACTCCGGGAAGTGAAAGAGAAACTGATCAATCGCCAAGGTCAGCTGTCAGTGAAAGTCCCGCGGCAAGGAGTCAAAAGGTTACTGTTTGTGTCATACGTATGGGAAATCATTCATTATAATGTTTTGTTTATTTGAAAGAAAAAGCTTTCTTGAATTACTTTGTTAAAAAAAAATAAAATCCTATTTGGATCTATGTTGTTTATAGAGTCTGACCCCTAGCTCCAACAAAGGACAAAGCGAATCTCCTACCCTTTCTAGCATCACAGAGGGAGAAAGTAAGTCTCTCATACATTTACACAGAAATTAAAGAAAGAAAATTAAAAAAAAATATTCGATTAGAACTACAGAGATAATCTTTGATCTAACATGGAATAATCATTATGCATTTGCAGTTGCTCCAGATGGAAAGAAAAGAATTGGGTTAAAGACACTTTTTACGGATCTTGATACAGGTGCGAAATCGGTAGGTTCACATTTACGATATAAATGTTACTGTCTGTCACTACGTACTGTTCCATTTTTTTCTTCAAAGTGAAAAGTTCTTTAAAGTGATCTGAACTTTGATTTCCTTGAACTAGCCAGAAGATGAGAGGATTCGAAGAGTAAAAATTAACCCTTTGATAGAAGTAATCAACATTTTGTGTGTTCTGTTTTGCTCTTTGCCTTGACTCTATAAGCGTGTGTGTTTGAGGGCTTTGTGTGAAGAGTGGCCAGATATAAGTAATATGACATTTTGCTTCCAATGGCTCATGCTACAACTGCTGTCAGTTTATTGGCAGATTGAATTCTTGAATTTTAATTAAGATTACTATATTATATTATGACTACAAAGAGTATTGCAGATCTCGAATCTTTCGAGAAAATGAGTGTAAAATTTGTTATTTAGCTTTAATTAATCATAAAGAACTTTTATATTTTACAAACAACAGCAAAATATTTAATTTACAACGAAAAGAATGCTCATGTTGATTGCATTGATGACGATTCTGATATTTATGTTAAATTTTGTATATATTTAGCTCGATGCAGATTTGGTGATGGGATTTGATGCAAATTATTGCGTTATTGGAAGCTAATGCAAAATCCATAAAATGCTTTATGATGTGAAATGCTTTGAAATTTATACACATGCACTAGCTACATAGCTAAATTTTACGATAGACGCTTTTTTGAAACAAAGGTTTTAATGTTGGACTTTTATTTTCATATTTGCGAACTTGAAATAACTATCTTTCACAGAACAATTTATTAATATAAATTTACTTTGAAATGAGTGTAACTTAAGAATCACACATCATCATGAAAACCATATATAAATTGTACCTTTCCAGGAAAACTTTGTGCCATTACCAGAGTCAGATAAGGAACCGGAATGGGTCCATGTACAGACTCTTACAAAAGATCAAATATTTGTAAGTTTTCCCGAATCTTTATAATAAAAAAGAATTATTTAAGATTTTTATTTCTTCAATTCTAAGAATATTATAATTGTGTATTTTTTAATTGATCTAAAATAAAGAAAACAAATATCTATGTACAAGGGTTGTATCCGTTTTCGACAATGCCCTCTTTGCAATATAAAATGTTATTATAATTTCTGGATTGTAAACTGCATCACAATCTTCATTTATTAAAGGGGCTCCAGTATGTGACATTTGAGAGGGATAAACAACCACAACCAAGCTTTGTTGTCATCAGTAACGGCGCTGAAGTTGTCCAAATCAGTCGTACATTGTTCCTCTCCAAGCTTGATTTTAATGCCAGAGAGAGGCTACGCAGTGAGGTATTTTGCAAAACTCTCTTGCATCATCCTTTATCCTTGTCAACGATAATGTGAATAAGTTAATGACTACATGTTTTTATTTTCTGACATGTAGGTTTCCCCGTATCCCACGGATGAGGAATTACAACAAAATCTTATGACACGTATTAACTGGGAGGCTTACAAAGATATAGTTCTACAGCAGTTTGTTAATGACAAATCCAGACGTAGACCAGCAACACAATATGTCAAATATAGACCAATGAGATTTAAGCTTACAAAATCCTCCGTGGCGAAGTCTGTGTATTCATAGTTTTGAGAAATATACTTTGAATGTGAATAACTGATATTGAACGTAAAAATGTGCTGTATTTACTGGATTACTATTTTGAATAAATCTTAAAATCAACAAGATTTGATCTTATGAGTACTGCATTGACAATATTTATGAATAATATACCTCTACGAGTGCTTGCTGATATTGAAACATGGAGCTTGAATTACTGTAAAACTAGTATTTCTTCGAGTGGTAATCATACTTATTCTCATAGTTCCCTTTCAAAGGCGGAAATTCTGCAAAAGCAAATATCTGTTTTGAATATTTTTAATATTCCAAAAAACCAAAATGAAATTGAACTTCCATATAGGTATTGGATTCCAAAACTTCATAAGAATCCTTACAAACAAAGATAAATAGCGAGTTCCAGTAAATGTTCAATTAAGCCTCTTTCTTTACTCCTCAGTAAGATATTATTAGTAGTGAAGGAGAAACTTCAAGAGTACTGTGCAACAGTATATTCAAGTAGTGGTGGTAATGAGATGTGATACCTATAAAAATTCAAGGAACTTTTGGACAATAAACGCACAGAAGACCCAAAATAATGTAATGACCTGTCTAACCTTTGGCATAGACCAGCCCAAGGGTATATAAAGCGAAGCTTTGGGGAAATAAGGCGATCAGAAAAGGAAGGCTGAACGTGACGGCTGAACAAAGAAGATTGTTGGAGAAAATCGAGATGTTATGGGTAAAAACAGAATTAGCACCAGTGGCAAATAATCTTAGGGAATTGATGCTAAGTTCTGGGTGCAGTAAATCTGAAGATTGAGACACCCAGTACTTTCCTATCAAAAGGAACCTAGGGAGAAACACGGTGCAAAAACCATACCCAGTCCCCTTCTCTAGATAAGAAAATTTTGGATACAGTGTGATTTTCCCTCAGATAGAGCGGCCTTAACTAAAGTAATAGTTTTATTATATAGTTCCAATCATTAACTTAGAGTAAGAGAAAAATCTATATACTGTATATATATATATATATATATATATATATATATATATATATATATATATATATATATATATATATATATATATATATATATATATATATATATATATATATATATATATATATCCTTGTAAGAACCCAATCGTATACACGTTACAGTTGCATGAAAAAAATATCAAGGCAAGCTTAATTTTTCCTTTCTCATAATGCATGTCCTTCCCATTTCCTTCTATTCCAGTAAACATTACAAATAATCATTCCTTGAACAGAAACTTTAATAAAAGGCTTTCATCTTTTAGTGAAACTTGTTTAAGATAAAGAAAGGAAAGAGTGAACTACTTTAGAGAGAAAAATATGAACAAAGCAAACTTGTGAATATGACATAAATACAAACCCTAAGAGAGTCCTAATGATTGGATTAGCTACGTAGGAAAAGTAAACATAGGCCTTCCCCTATCAAGAACCTAAAAATATTTTATTTGATGACATTTTTTAACAAAATAATGTCAATCACCCGTTTTGTGCTTTATGATAAGTGATCTACCTTCTCATTTCCTGTTTGTTTATTTACATGTAGCAGAATTATAACAAAATAATAACATAGTGTTCAGCAACTTGTGCTATTACTTAGAACTTATTATGAAATACAAGGCATCATTCAGAATACTATTTTTGTTCACATACAGTGTATTATACGAATTCAAACAACAGTAGTTATCTGTTTATATGCATTCCCTATTTTTAATAGAAATAATGGAAAAGATATTGTGAAGCTATTTAGGGCACTTCTCAAGGATATCAAGGATATCAAGATTTTAGAAGCATTTTTAAAAGTAAAGAATGAAACAGATGCAGATAAATTTTGTTTTACATGAAGTATAGTTTAGCATGATTATCTGGTAACATTTTTATTCCAGTGCCTAACTTAAAAAAAGATAGTATTTTCAAGTTATCTTTCTTTGAACGAGAAAAATATATGCAATTAATAAAAAAGTAGAAGATATTGGATTGACAAGAACAATGAAATGCAGATCATGAGGTCAGGAGAAAACAAATGACATCACTACATTTAGGAACATCTGTCAAAATCCTGAAAAGAAAAAAAAATCCAGAATAAGGGTCAACAGCAGTACAAGGTCAAACAGCAAATTTACCACAATTATGAAACAGAGTCAGTAGCGGGTAAACCTCAACTGGCCAAACAAACTCGGATTCGGCATGGCATTCTCATTAAGAGACTCCCCATGTCATTTTGGGGAACGGTAGCACTGCCCTGTGACATGTCCAGCAGCAACACCAAAAACAGTGCTGCCTCCCTAAACCATTACAGATCCACCCCCATACCGATCATGTCAAATGACTTAACGTCATGGAAACGTCCGTTAAGTCGGCGCCAAACCCTCCAGCGTCTGTCCAGGAATTCCACAGTGAACCTTGACTCATATGAGAACATCATATGATTCCATCGGCGATTATCCCAGCGTTGATGGTGACGACACCATTAGAGTCGGGCCCTAAAGTGACGATCCCTCAACTAGGGAATGCCATGAGGACGTCGGACTTGAAACTTAAATCTGTGCAGTCGACTCCTGATCTTTTTGCCACTCACTACCAAGCCAGTATCCCTTTGAAGTTTAGACCTTACCTTATTTGCTGTAACCAGGCGATATCTCAAGGCAATGGTGTGGATAAATCTGTCCTGAGCCTGATCAGATCCTGTAGAACGATATCTGGACCATAATCTAACTGGTAACCGACTGGAAAACATTCATTACCCTTGACACAGCTACCTGACTTATGCCAAGCTGTACCATGCCAAGGGCACGTAACTTCGTATTCCGTGTTAGACGGCGCATGGCCTAATCATCAACTTCAACAACTGATTATCTGATGCTTTCTCTTCAGAATCTTTCTTCAGAGTGGCTTTAACCTTCCAAATCAGAGGCATGCAATGTTGCGACAGAACACCCTTGATCATCAGTAGCACCCAGTGCAGATCGTGAGAGTGTGGTAGATGTTTTTGGGTGATGAAATTCTTTGGAATGCTTCCTCGTTAAGGAACTGAACAACCCTTTGTTTATGTGAACGTTTTAATCACAAACTACAGTATCCCTTACTTCTTTTGAATTGTATATAATTGTTTCGAATTAAGACTTGATTTATAATAAAATATACATATCAGTCGTCCTACAATAATGCCATTGCAAAAGTTGTTTTAATGACGTGCATATCTATTGATATTTGATGACGATTTGGGAACAAAAGTACTTTTAAAATGAACCACATTTCAAAAATCAATTACTTTAGAAGATGGAAGATGATATTCATTTACCTATCGAGAAAGTAATTATTATTACAATTTTTTTTACGCGTGATTTTTTTTAGAATATGTTAAGTGTTGAAAATATATGACTGCATGTATGTTTGGGAAATGATATTTTTCAAGAAGGAATTAATAATTGTCGCATATCTGCGGTGATTTTCTTTGATCTTTCTGTAGTGATATATCCCATATCACATATGCGATAATACTTTCCACGCCCCTTCATATATCACTGCAGAAGGCATAAATCAGGTCATGAGAAAAAAACTTATTTTATTTCACAAGTTCATAACCACAGAAAAATGAACATGTATAGCTATTTCTTAGCCTTTAACTAAATTAAAATACATGTATTTAACTCGGTTGAAAGTTCCCAGTCGTTCAAAAGATTAATCCATTTTGAAAATTTGAAAGTTACGGGAAAATCTCCAAACTTTTTATCGTTAAACTCCTTGCTATTTGTTTCTGTGATTTCATATATGTCGAGTGCCTGGCTCAAAAATAAATTGTCAAAATCTTCAAACTCAGTTAAAAACTCAAAGTCAAATTCACTAAGAACGTCCGGCATGTTGGAGAGCTAGCTTGAAATGAATCTTTTTTTAATTATTGAATTTTGACACTCTCAATGAAATTTACGTCATCAGACATGCGACAAGTTGCTTACATCATAGATGCCTCGTACTATTGGTTATATCGTTTTCATGGGGCGTGGAAATCTTAATAAAACCGCGCCCTCGATTTCCACGCCCCATGAAAACGATATAATTAATACTACTCGGCTTCTATGATGTAACCTATACAAAGAAAATATTTTGCTTCTAAGATATCATTAACCCACGTTTATTAACTGTCATATCAACGTCAGAAGACATAGATAGCTGTATCATGACACATTTAGAATTCTTTCTTTAATATAAATTTATTTTCGTGGATATTGGTATATATTCGTATATCACTCATCTTTGGAATATACATAAAGGCATGGAAACATTTTAAGGGTACAACAATACCAAAGCCGAAAAATTCCATCGCAGTATTTCATTCTTCCTGCGATGGTTCTTTCTCGTTATCTATTCTCTTGTATTCTCTAAGCTAAATGTTTCCACTTGCAAATACGGCAAATCCATTAGTAAATTATCGTAAACCTGACCATGGCCTAGGATTGGGACCAAACAAACAACTGGTCGCCCGCTTTAGGAAAAATTAACTGATGGTATACTGTTGATCGGGTCGTCAATATGCTTTTATGATCGCTTGTGGAAATACAGATTTTTGACATTACAATAATTACGAATTGTAGTTCTGTATCTATATAAAACAATTGTCGCGTTTATCATACGTTTAATGATCTGTCTATAGTGAATAAATTAAGTATCATTTCGAAATTCGTATAAGATTAACTTTAAATGTCTTCATCTTTTGAAATATAATGTGAAAATCCCAATCTATATTCATATGCACATACACTAATTGCAATTTTGTGTTGTTTATGTCGTATAAAAAGTGGACACTATTTTGGTTCACTGATTTATAGCGTGTATTGATATGTGTTTTTATATCGTTTTCATTATTTATGGTGCGATGATTTGTTTAAAGCAGAAACATGAAATACGAGTATTTTTTATTGATTCGAATGCGTGTTCTAGATGTTCTTAATGATATATTCTGAAAAAATACCAAAAGGAAAGTTGAAGTTAAATTCTATTTAAAATAAATACAAAGTACAGATTTTTATGCATTCTGACTTAAAGATATTTTCA